TGGTAGGACCAGGGGGCCAAAGCCTGCAAAAACGAACGTGAAGTTTGCTGTGGCTCTGAGGTCGGCACTGGGGTAACGGGAGCCAAGACCCTGCTAAAAATATAAGCGGCATGGACATACGAACGCCAAGCATCCCCACCATGCAGAAGCTGGTGAATTCGGTCTGTGACAACATGGAAAAGATCCTGGAGACCTCCCTGGAGGAGAACAGAGGGAAGCTTCGCGAGGTATTGAAGCTGCGCGGTTGAGAGGCCCGGGAGGGGGAACCGGTCGCAATTGATGCGACGACGGATGGGTGCTATAATAACCCTTGCTACCATTGTGTGTCTCAACGGGCGACAAAAGTAACCATGCCTTTCTTAGAGACTGAGACCAACGGCAATCTGCTGATACACTTCAAGTCAGCAAATAAGTTGTGCCGGATCGGAGAGGGACAAAGGGCGGATGGGGAGGAAAATCCTTCCCCGGGGCACCAATGACAACAGCTGTGTCAGAGTGTATGTCCTCTGAAGAGTCAAGATCAGACAATGAGGGGGTAGGGGTTTCAAAACTAGGTCCATTCCCTGGCAGTCTGACCTGTTCACGAAATACAAGCGTGAACTGGACCTCAAATCAGACAAACTGCACACCGAAATTGCCAGGAGACTGTCGGTAAAATGGTGTCAAGTCCATCGTCATCAGGTAAAAACAACCAGTCCCGTCAGAACAGGATGTTTGTAAAATGTTTATGTGTCGGTGGCATTTAGTATTTATTTATTATACAATCGGACATCATAACATGTTTAAAAACGGGTATCACAATGCTGTAAAACGCCTTCTACATGCAGTGTTACAAAGTATCTTGGCCTGAAGCTGAAACACTTTGGAAAAGTCTTCTCAAGGCCCTGATCTTTTCCTTGTCATGAATTAACTATGTACGGCTATTCGTGCATGGATGCAAGGTATTGTGCGATACAATAATCTCATACATTTTTTTTTACATCATTATACTTATAGCTGACTTCTTGTAGCCTAAAAGCCTTCAAAATCTGGTTTCGAACTGATGGGGGAAACTCTGCACTAGTTTTTTTTTTTTTTAACTTGGAACATCCAAGGTAGCGTTAGTAAAAAGTTTAGTGATGTAGAGTTTTATAATAATTTTCGAAATAGAGATGTAATCTGTACTCAGGAAACCTGGGCAGACAATAGTAGGGTAATGGTTCGTGTGTAGTGGTGGTTCTTGCAGTACCTGTACTCACCATTAGGAGACCACAACCCTGAGAATCAACTACAGTTGGCGAATCATATAGTGTAGGTTGTTAAACTTTGGCGACTTAGAGCAAAAAACCAGCAATCATTAATGGCTGTGACATCCAACAGGCTCATCTAAGGCCACACCAATTTAATTTCTTGGTTAACGGATTTTTCTAGAAAAATAATGGAGCAGGCAGGCGGAAAAAAAAATAAAAATAAAAACAGGCCTAGGCATCCTATTATTGCCCAAAATGGTACGATAGGAGCCATGAAGTCAACACACCAGGCTGGTTAAAAAATTTAAACAATGAATTTTGAACTTTTAATGATACCATTGCATTGAAAGATGGAATAACTGTAACAACTAGGATGAAAAGGACTGTTTTCAACTGTTCAGGGCACAATATGAGCATTTTGCAGTTGATTCTGGATTTTTATTTTTATTTGCAAATCAGAAAAAAATGAAGCGGCGAATCCGTTAACCAAGAAATTAAATTGGTGTGGCCTAATTCTAAGCTGAACGAGCCCCCACTGAGCCAAGGCACAGTCCCCGATGTCTGGGTTTCCAAGAGGCTGGACAGCTCTAAGAATAGACCTAACCCTAACAACCCATGAGTTAGCTGGATATTCAGCCACAAATAAAATTTAAGATGTTCCTTCAGAATTCCAGGAGCCATCCCTAGTCTGACACGTTAGCCCATTAGTAATACATATTTTTCTGTCATCAGTTACATACAACTCAGATGTTGCAAGCTGATATGAATTAATGCTTAACGTTGATATTGTATGGATCGTTTCTGTGTACGGCTGCTGGTGTGCTATATGGGATGGTCCTCACAGCTAATCAATGTTGTTTGGTGCTCATATCAGGTGTCGCTGTAGAAAAATAAAGACAAAGATAAGGAACAGAAATTAGTAAAAATTACTAAACTTTTCTTGAAAGTTGGTAACGACCAGAAAACAAGGCATTAAATTTGGTCAGGATGGCTCTTGAAAAGATTAATGCCAGCGGTTATGTAACAGCGAGTATATAGGCGTCACTAACTGTCCGCCCAAGGGATCCTGGATCTTTTGGGTGAATCGGTTTGTGCGCTGGTTGTGAGCTGACACGGGTTCGATTCCCGGGGGTCAGAGTCAACCTTCGAGTTACTTCTTTCTCTGTGTTACATTGGTGTCGGAAGTTGGACGGGCGGCGGACAAAGGAAAATCAAACATGGCGACACGTGCGGAAATCAAACTAGTGAAATTCTCAGTAAAGAATACTGATTTCAATGCCTGGTACGCAGTATCTGAAGCTTAAGTGGAAAATTAGCTCTACCATTCTCGTACTTCTTAAAAATAACATTTTAAAATGTATAAATCTTGTATGTATGTATGCTGTGTAATCATCTGGACCAAGCTTGCCGAAAATATTGACAAGTACCAAGGAGGTTTGAAATTTTCTTGCAAGTACATAGTTCCCCCCCGCCAGCACGTAAACAAGATAATCCATCACAGATGTCAGCCGCGCCCAGCCTTGGCATCTTGGCAAGTTTTGTCGTGAATAGTTAAAAACGATTGTGTAGTACATAGTACAAGACGTTTACAACAATAAGCCTCCTCGCAGTTCCGACTGCGCATGTGCGCGCGCGATGCATTGTGGTCCGGGTCAAGGTTCAGTGTCACTTCGGATGTAAACAATGGCTGGCGTTCCAATCACGCCAGATGCAGAAACATCGCTGGATGACTTTTAACTTTGGCCAAAACGCCAGTTGCAGCCTTTTTTGCGAGCGAGGGGACTTCCGGTGACGGGTAGCGTCCATGAACTCAGGGCCCTAGCTTTTTCAGCCACAGTAATGCGCCATCCGTTGGTTCCGACTCCCGAGGAAGAACAACAAAAGAGGTGATTTTCCTTGTTCTTTGTACATGTCCACGTGTAAATAAGGGTTTCCATGTCTGTATTTGTGTAGTCCTTATAACCACCCTTCATCGTGTGCATGGGCGATTTTACTACGACTGTTTTGTACATAGAACTCTAGGCATTGTTTGAACATGTAAGGTTACTTGTCTAGAAAATGTAGTAACGAAGGGGACCTATAACGAGTTCCAAATTCACCTACATAAATTATACTTGCATCCATTGTTGCATCTAATAAATATTTATACAGAATAGTCTAGAAATGAACCAGAACGGTCTTTCATTTAGGGACCAACGATATATTTCAAACTCATCTCTACATTGATTTGATCTCTATGATTGACAGGTTTCGATTGACACCATACTGTTTATTTTGTTAGATGCGAAGACTACAGATCACTTTTGACTGTGGATGGCAGACAACTCCCCGACCCCTTTGTTGACCTGAAAAGTGGCTGGAAGAAAGAGGAAGAAGGGATGCAGCACTGGCCACCAACTATGTATGGGGACATGGCAGAGTACCTTGTGGCTAATGGAGAGGTACAGCTGTAGAAGAGGCTAATGGGGGATTACAAGGATGGCAAAGCATTTTCGTACTTTGATTCTGGCTTCATCAATGAAGTTTTGTATCATCCAATAAATGAGAATTCAAATGTTTGCTTTGTAAAATCAACCAGTGGCAGATCACAGAGAAAAAATGATGAGGCACACCGAGTGTGGGTCGCACTCCAAAAAATCAACTGGGAAAATCCGGACAGCGTACTGCAGCTGCTTTGCTGGGTAATATTGACAAATTATGTATTTTTTTCTTATAGGGCAAATAATCAGACAGTTCACAAAGTAGTAGGCCAACATAAGCTGCATGTATTGTATATTAACATCAATAGACATTTTATTACATGGCAAATAATTGAATGACTTACAAAGTAGTGGACTAACTAACTAGCATGTATTGTATAGCATATAGTGCGAAAACATCAATAAACATTTGAATCAAGCACTTTTAGAAATCTTTTTTTTTTCATTTGCAAGTGCATGCTGGACCATTTTAAGTTCCAGCTAGGACAATGGCACTAGTACTTAAATATGCACTAGTACTATACTATACTTGTTGCAATTAGTCCTACAGAATATTGTAATGGCACTTGTATTTTTTTCATGTTCAGTTGATAATATAATCCAAACTCAGTCAGGACAAATGTTTAATAGTACTCAAAATATATTTTTTTTACAGTTTAGGATCCACATGCAACCATGTTGCAGGTGTCCTGTTCAAGATGGACCACGCATGGGCAACCGGGGTCACAAACAAGTCCTGTACATCAAAACCAGCAGAATGGACCAAGCCCAGGAAGAACGCAAACACCGACGCACGGAAGATCAAGGACATGGAGTGAAATGAAATAGATAAAAATGTAGAAATATAGAAATGTATACCGCCACTACATAGTATATTACATTCATAATTACATTGTATGGTAGTATTGATTACATAAAAATGGAACAAACATATTAATAATGTATATGTAGTACATACATTGCAAAAATAATGTGCCCATGTACATCCATATGGGAGAGCTGAGTACACATTTCTTCTTTCCCTTCCTTTATACAGGTACCACTGAAACATCAGGAAGTCAGCATGAAGACACAGTATCTCCAAGTGTAGACACAGTGGCACCAGGTCAGAATGTACAATTCTTAACACTTACTTACAAGCATGCTAAAAGTAAAGAATACAGGGCCACCATGTCAGACATGTAAAAATTCTCAAACGTCTATAAACAATCATGCTAAAAACCTTACTTAATACTTTGCTGTCTATGGGGATTTTTTTCTTGACTGGCTCTTTTCCCTTTGTTCATACAGGTACTGATGACTCTACAGTCCACTCTCCAGAGTCTGAGTCCACAGCCCAAGATGGTCCACCTGTGCCACCACCTGCAGTCCTCCCTCCAGAGTCTGAGTCCACAGCCCAAGATGGTCCACCTGCAAAGAGAAGAAGAGTGACTGCTAGACGACAGAGGAAAGCACCAAAAGTTTCAGGGCCTATTTACCTATGTGGAATTTGTAAGACTGACTGTGTAGATAATGTTGAAGATGAGGCTGACAATAGTGTTGGCTGTGACAAATGTTTCAGGTGGTTTCACTGGGGGGTGGGTT